GGGGGGGGGGGGGGGGGGGGGGGGGGGGGTGAACCCTGCAATGGACCAGTAGCTACAGAAACCAAAGAATGGGCCACTTGGCTTGTATGTGTACTTTTCTTTTTAGGAAATAGCTCCTTAGATTAAGTGATAACTTTCGCCCCTGTCTAACTGACTCCACAATAGTCACTAGGTCATGAAGACCCATTATTTTTGTAGGACACTTTAAAACATTACATCACAGTGATTAAACAACTGAGCTTGGCTTGCCATGTGAGGACAACAGCTGGTTATTGACTTCTCAAGTGTCTACTATTTGGCAAATTAAAGTCCTCCCTGTGCGAACTCCAAAAAGCTTGGTGATCTTTTTTCAGAGAGTAAATTGATACCTTTGATACATGATGGAATAATTAAAAATGATTCATACCCTTCATTTAAAATAATTTCCTATCATCTTTCAGTATTGACAAACTTAGTCCATTCTTTAAAACCACATACTTGAACATCTGGAAACCAGCAAAGCTTAAATGATATTCCCCATTCCAAGCCAGTTTCAGTTAAAACATGGCCCATGGCTTGAAATAATCAAAAATATCATTGGTAAAGAATGGATTAAATTTCTAAATACAAACCTGGCGGCCATGACCAATAAAACAAAGTCGAAGATCCCACAGCCAGGGTTCCTAAAAAAGGCATAAATGAAATAAAATAACATTTCACATTTTGAGCAATTCAACAAGAAGGCAATTAAAAAAAAGAAAAGAAAAGCTATACACTGATGCAGCTTAATGCCCAGGTGCATCATGGAGATGGACTGAGTACAAGAAATATTACACCTTCTTGGACTCTTCTCAGACATTTAAAACAGTATCCTTTTCCTGTATATCACATTACTTCACTTCAAATGTTTTACCAGCTGGCCTATCATATTTGCTTTATAAAAATAATTAGTAAATGTCAGAGAGAATCATTCCATTTTCATCAGTTGGAATATGTCTTGATATTCGAGAACATTTCAATAATAAGGGAAGGCTCTTTTCATTCAAAAAGTGGTTTTTGACAACTCAGCTGGTATTCAATTTGATAAGTATCATTTTTCAAAGGACTTTTAACAGCAGGAATTTTGTATCTCCAAAATGACTGCACTTAAATTTTGAAAGGGCATTTGTTCTGAATGTTTTTGCGACATATAAGGATGCTACAACTCTCACAACAGAAGATATGAAGCACAAAACAAGTACTTGCATATTGTATCACAAGCACTAAAAAAGGTCCATCTACAGTCAAGTGGGGGAGGGGATTAAAAACTAGGCCTACAATCCAAGACAAAAAAGTTGGGACACGAAGCAAGTTCTCCCTTCCACCGCTCTTACAATGTTGATAATCAGGTGATTTTTTCCCTTTTTGTTAAAAAAGCGACATTTTCCAACATTGACTGGGGGAGGATGGGGGATACATGATCCAGCACAACTGTCCCAACTACTTTTGTTCGGAATTGTAGGTATATGACAATAACATTCTGGTTTCTGTTCAACACAAAGAGGACACTCATGAGAACAGTTACATGTACAGTGCTTGTCAACATCATCATGTCTAATTCCTCAAGTAGGGAGTATTCATAACTACCAGTATACAATTACCTTATACAATATAACCATCCCGTAAATGGATGTCGCCAAATAGAACACAAACCTCCAACTACAAGATACATGCAAAAGTAATAGTGTAAATTCTGCATACCTAAGATTGTGAATTAAAAGTTTACTTCACATGTAATGTTCTATTAGAAAGTATCATAAAATTTTATTTGTTTTGGTTGATTTGGCTTTTTTCAATGGCACCAAAGGTAATCACAATTGTTAATTGAGCTTTCTAAATTCAACTCTTTGAAATCTTCATCCTCTTTTAAATTATTGCGATGTTTGAAGTAGCAATCCTTGGACAACCAAATCAACTGAAACAAGATTTAGAGGATCCAAGTTTAAAGCTGCGTGTTTAAATATCAACTATATACCAGTAACAGTTTCATATGATTGTATAACATGCACAACACCAATTGGTAAAATTGGAACTCACAACAACAAATGAGAAACTCTACTTGGTACAAAGCAGTGCACTACTGATCATCAGAATGGACTTTTCTTGACAAAAGTCTTCCTTGTGTACTTTATTGTCTGCTAACTAAAACTAGGAACTGAGTGTTTGTGAAATTTATTGTGTCTTCCTTGGATTCAAAACAAAAAAATTTGGAATGAGGAAAAAACCTGTTAATTTTTTTGAAAAGGAACTTACAACAACAACAACAACAACAACAAATCAACTGGTATTTCATGCATTTTGGGGGAGGGGAGGGAAGGTTGCTGAGTGAAATTTATGTACATGTAACAAATTAAAAGTCTTCAACTAAAATAAACAGCGGGAAAAAAGTGCAGTACCTGCTCTCAGTAGCCTTCCGCATAAGTGAAGGTTTTGATTGCTGTCGACGGTTCTTGAACCATCTTTTCACTTCACGTGTAGGCCATCCAAGCTGTTTAGATAATCCTTCTACTCTCTCAGCATTGGGTGACTTGCTGATTGTTTGGTAAACTTTCTCACAGAATGTATTTTGTACAAACACTATAGGTTTTTCCTTCACTCCAAGATATCCTACACAGGGGCCAGCAATGAACCTACACAGCAAAGAATCAAAGACAACTAGTTGTAAGTGTATCCTTAAAAAGTACATTATATGTACATTACATACATACATACATACATACATTCTGTCTATTAGCCTTTTTACCTAATACAGAAATTATTTATAAATATTTCAATGTATGGTGATGTGTCCTCTACAAACCACCACGTTTTTTGTTGAGGCCACCTCGTACATAACAATATGGTTACCTAGATAGTGCTACAGTGTGTGGCTTTGCCAGTTCAGTAATTATTTACCAAAAACTCTAGCAGTTTTTTCTTAAAATTGGGAAAAGTTGACAGAGAAGTGATTGTAACAGGAAGGGAATTCCAGATCTTTGGACCTTGGTAAAGAATTGTGAATTTTCTCAGATTAGTCCGGCAATGATGCACGCAATAATTAATGGCTGTTCTGGTTCTATAGCCATGAATTTGACTGTTTGTAAAAAACAAGTTGAAAAACAGTCAAGGCAACAGGTTGTTATGACAACAGTACATAAATTTAGCTATTTGAAATGTGTTGATTTGATAAATGTCTAAAATTCTTAATTTGGAGAATAAAGGAGCAGAATTATAGTTAACAGGTGTATACTAAAAAAAATAAATCAACACTGATGATAAAATTTGTACTAATTTGACACTGTTGTTTTGATCTTTTATTATTCATATTATTTTGTTTTAGCTTAAGTATGCATAGGTTAAGTATGCATACAAGCCAAGTGCTTATCTCCGGTTTCAGTAGAAGTATGAAGCAACTACATGTAGGAGTATTTCTACTCCCCCCTGGATGGGATGCTAGTCCATCGCAGGGTCACCCTCTAGCATTAAATTTGTCAGTACCAAAATATACACCTGGGTGGAAAGAAGCACTGTGAGAGTAAAGTGTTTTGCCCAAGAACACAACACAATGTCCCTGGCCAGGGCTTGAACCTGGACTGCTCGATATGGAGTTGAGCACACCAACCATAACAAGCATTGCAAAAAATATTAGGTACTGGTAATAAGTAACAAGACTATAGTCTTCCCTACAGATTATCTCACCTAAAGATATTCACTCAAAAGGAATCTATCAATGTTTTATTGATTTTACATGTTAAAGATTTTGTCATCTGGTGTTGTACATGAACACAATTCTGACAAATTATCAGATCATTCCCAACAAAAGGGACATATCCCTTCAAAATATTGCAAAACAGGCCTGCAAATTAAATCTGCGTAATCTTTGACAATTGAGCACATTTGTTTTCACAGTGCTTATCACAACCTTAGAGGACATGTCACAACAATAATACATGTGCTTGAACACATCATGGCAGTTATGTGCACAACATCTACAGGTGTAATAAAATCTCACAATGTGGATATAGTGTAGCTACCAACTGGCCGAATAGCTCCATTGGCAAAGGACTGCAGCAGTATTGCAGAGATTATGGGTTTGAATCCTCTTCAACATAAATGCAGTGATCTCTGATCTCTCTAAAATCTTTCCCTGCAGTTCAAATATATGANCATAATTCTCTTTAAAGACATGTCAAATAATAGGTAATGAGAAGTAAGGTTTAGATCATAAGAATCAAGAGTCTTCACTGCAGGTTATCTGACCTCAACAGATAAACACAACAAGAAATTAATCAATATTTTCCTGATTTTACAGGTTAAAAATTTTGTCATTCTGGTGGAAATTCTAACAAAATATCTGATGAATAATCCCAACCGAACAGAAGAGAAAGATCACTTCATATACTAACAGAGCAGGCACACAAGTGAAATCTGCTTTGTCTGTCTTGCTTAGAAAAGGCTCTCTATTATAACAACAACAGGGAAATGGGCAGGTGTTCAAAAATAAATCAATTTTATTGTATTTTGGGATAAAAAAGTGATGCAAATTTTATAAAAGTTCGCATTTTAGTCACACCTAGTACACCTACTGAGTTTTAAGTTTGACACTTTGCTGTTTGACTGTTAGAAGCATGTAAAAAGTCAAGTCTGATATCGCAAGTGTATTTGATAACTGGGCTGATAAAAGATATGAATTTATCTGAGTGTAAAAAGATGCGGCAAAAAAGAGAAGTTAGTTTTCATATAAGCTTAAGTTACTTCACGTTGTTTTGTGATTGACAGAACGATAAAATAAATAAACCAACCTAGTACGATCAAAGTGTTTTTTGACTCTGTGCTCGCGGCAAAAAGGAAAACAGCTTCCCGCTAGATTTGCAGTGTTCTTGCATACTGTGGTGAGTAATTCTTATCTGCCACTTTTGTACTCGTATGAAAAAAGGTGCCTGAAATATAAGTTATAACCTGCTGAGACAAGTTCAGTTTTTAAATAACATTGCATTGGCTACTAACAGGAAACACAGCAAAACGAAACGTCAAAATTACTTTCCTGACGCTTTAAATGAAGATACCTCCAACTGAAAAGCCGGAATATTCGACCATGAGTACCCAACAGATCACAAATCACTTTGTTGCGGACCACTAACCTTTCGAATAGGAATCGTAAAACAATGAGTAAAATAGCAACAGGGAAGCAAAGGAACAGCTCTCCACTTTGAACCCATTTCGGATTTTTCGTTTCATCCAAGCGTTGCCAAGTGGTGTTCTCTGGCAGCCAGAAATCAGCGTCCCAAAACCACGCTCTCCATGCCTGCAGCTGATCCGCCATGACCCCTTAATGATGAACTGAACTGACAGTCATCCCAGAACACCCTTCGCTACCTTAGATACAGTTCATGTTCGCTTACACGACCTTTATATTTACATGCGCCATGTTGGTTGTCAAGTGAAAAGAAGTTTTACTTTTGAGGAAAACGAAAATGGCAGATTGTAACTTGTGGGAGGACAGAGACGTTCGGTTTGACATAACCTTGCAGTGAGTTCAATTGAATGTTTATCTGATTTTTTTTGCTTTTTCGTATGCTACATTGTAGCTAGTTGTCGCTAATGCAGTTTGATCTTGGAACAGGCAAATGCAGCTGAGACCTGGAGAGGTAAGCTTACGGTATCATTTAAAGCCTACTTTATTTTTTATCCTACGAAAAAAGGTACAGCCTTATTAAACAGTGGCGTCTACCTTCAGGTGTTTAGAAATGTGAAACTGACGCCCGATGCGTTGGTTATACAACATTTTGTTCTTTCAGGGTAATTATCGATCCTGTAGAGAAAACTCGTTTAGTCAATTTTGTTGTTGATTTGATCATGGAAAGTAGACACAGAAGATTAAAACATCTTATTTTCGGGTTTTGTAGGTAATGATTGACAAGCTTGATTCAGTGGAAGATACCAAAGGAAATAATGGAGACAGAGGTTGACTTATTTTTGTACCGAGCTAGTACAGTGTTACAAAGATAGACTACACTATTGAGGGGGGAGGCGGGTGGGTTGGGATGGGTTGAGGGGGAGGNGGGGGGGGGGGGGGGTAGGAGGTCACCTATATTGTATAACATAAAAATTTCAAAGTGTATTTACAATCGTGGGCAAAAGCCGTTGGGACACTTATGTAATGTAACAAATTATCTATGTTTTACAACTGAAGTTTTCACAGGTACTAATTTTCAACACTGTATGTGCGGAGGGGAGAGAGGTTAGGCAGGTGAAGTTGTATTCATGTCTGATGCATGTTCAAAAGTGCCGAAAGTGCAAATTTGTCCCAAGACTTATGTCCATGATTGTAGGTATTGATTGACAAGCTTGATTTGGTGGAAGATCCCAACGGAGTGGAGACAGAGGTTGACATTTTAGTATTGAGTTAGCATTTACAACTAGAAGGTCATGAATTTGATTGTCAAGAATGCTTCACACCAAATCCTTAGGAGTAGGTATTGATTAAAATTTGTCATGGTCTAAAGATGTTAATGAGACTGCTAAGGTTATCTCCTTTGGTATAGGTGCATGTATTGAGGCTGTTCATATGCAAAGATACAGTTATATAATAAACCTATTATCAAACCATATTTTGATTATTGTTGTCCTTTGTACACGCAAAAAGAGGGAACTTGAAAACCTCAATTTCAGGGGAGGGGGGAATGTCTGGATATGGTAAAAAATGTTTCTGACTTACTAATATCTATGCTTTATACCAAAACTGTGAATACCTTGTAGGGAATATACACAATTAGAAGAATCTTGCAAGATCTTGTAAGATTCTTATGTTAAAAGCCTTACAAGGTTCAAGTAAGATTCTTGAATTTATAAGAAACAAGATCTTAATAAGAAACGTACCAGCAATCTTACTACCTGGGGGTTAAAATCCACTTTCTGTTTCTTGAACCTCACCATCACCTCTCCACTTCGTGCCACATGGCATGAAAAGAGTGTCTAGATAAGATATTTATCCTGACATACTCACTGAATGCCATTTTGTTCTCTTGGTCAGGGTGAGATACTATGTTGGTCTGTCCGGGCATGTGACCTCAAGGAGAAGCTGTGATATTGCTCAAGGGTAAAATGTCTTACCTGGGAGCACAATGCAATATCTGATAAGATTACTAAATATTGTTTTGATTCTGTTCAATGTCTATAATTACTGTTTGTTCAATGCTTGCAGGACGTCTTCTTGTTACCAACCTGAGACTGATATGGCATTCGCAGAGTATGCCCAGGGTGAACTTATGTAAGTAATTAATGTGCAAGGTTTCATTCTGTAATCTCTCATTCTGGTATATATGGCTTAGTGGATGAGATACATGTAAAGTGTGAAAACCCATTGCAACTACAGAAACGTTTTGGCATGGTTCTCTCAACTGGAAGTTACTTATATGACATTTTTTGTGCTCTGCATCATAAATTTGAAAATATAACTTGTGAAAATGATACATGTATGTGTCAACTGTATGAATTTTTTTCATCCCTGCAGCTGTTGGTTTTAGTTGTGTTGTTAATGTATCCACAAGGTCAGCAAATTCGGTATGTATAATTTTTTCAAAGTTACAGATGTATATAAACAATAGCCTCCATTTGGCACAAAAACACGCTTGGATATTTCCACAGACATTGTTCTGTTCTGACAAGTGAGCTCTAAGGAAAAGATAATGTCCAGGGACAGATATCTGAGGATATTTTCATGGCAAATGGAGGCTATTGTGTTTATTATCCCTCAAATACTTTTCACAACACATGCATTTTTGAATATTGGGGAATACATCACTTGGATATTCTCCAGTTTTAGCTGGGGCATATTCATTCAGGTGACACGTTTAGACCAATCGCGCGTGAGCAAAAATATTTGATGGATTATTAGTGTGGTCATCATCCATTCACTGAAATCTTTTGATGCAGTATACATTCAAATTCTTGTTGCTAGTCTTCAGATTTTTTGCGTGGTTACTATATAATTACATAATCTTGCTGATTATATGTAGTTTCATTTGGTTGTTACTCCACATTTTAGTGGAAATCCACAGATCTGCTTATTGTCTATTTAACAATTAGACTACAAGCCCAAGTTTTCTATGAGTGAATAGTTGACAAGGCATAACCAAGTTGACCATCGCTCATAGAAAAGTCAGGCTCATAGTCTAATTGTTTAAGAAGACACTCTAAAGGATTACAGCACAAAGCCTACACTTTTTGGATAAGCATGAAATTTAGAATAGTTTTCAGTTTTAAGAACAGCATGCACCTGATTGTTGTCTATTAGTGAATAGAAACAATGAGAGAACCAAACAGATTTGCAGTTTTCCTGTAGAACACAGCTGAGTGGCTACTACTTCCTGATGAAACATCATTGCCTGTGTATTGTTCTTGGGAAGGGAAAAATTATTATGTTGGTTTTTTTGGCATATACAATAATCCTGATCAAGGCTCAAACCTGGACTGCTTGATCTGTAGTCCAGTACACTAACCTAGACACTACACCTACCCAGGGCTTCAAATAATGGCCAGTCAACAGACAATGTCTGGTCAAAAATAGGTTTTGTCCGGTCAAATCCTTAGATGGCCGGACAATTTGTCCAGTCATTTACGCTGGTAAGGAAAAAAATCTAGAGTTTCAAGTTTTAAATATTTAAAGGTTCAATATCATTGGCGTTTGTGAAAAAGGAGGGGAAAAAGGCGGATACTTAACTACCAGGCCAATAACTTTTAATAAATGATTTATAATAGTCATAAAATTTCCGGCTGTCATTGCAAATTTTCACGCAAATGTGATACTGATTTTGCTGTACCATGTGTTCCACTTTTCCTGCATTGAGATCAATGCTCATGTACAATAAATGCTTTGAAAATTTACCTGTTTCATATTTAAACATCATATGAAGGGAGGGGGCACTTTTGTAGTGATAAGACATAATCAATGTTTGTCCGGCCAAAAATGGGATATGTGCAAGCAAAAATAGCTTTGACTGGACAATTTGACCGGCGCCAGCCGGGAAATTATTTGAAGCCCTGCTACCGCTTACATATTCTGTATAACTTCTTAGGAAAGGAGAAGCTGGATACCCTTGAATTGTTGGGCTAGTCATGACAGAGTACGGTTAAAAAAGTTACTTTCAACGTATTCCATATTTTAATAGTTTTTTTGAATTTTCACAAATATTCAGAAACTTAGGGGACAAACAGAAGCCCTGTATCTTTTGACAAGATGCAACAACACAAGATTTGAGTTTATTTTCACCAACCTGGTGAGTAAACTAGCCATGGAATTTTAAAGCATTATTTAAATGAAAGTATGTTGTTAGGGAAGTATTGCAGCTTGTTAATGTGCTAGTTGTTTTGTATTAAAAATGTCGATGCTCAAAAACGAACAGTAATAGACAGTCCGTTTTAAAAGTATACAGAAACACACACATATAGATGCTTTTGATTAGTTTTCTTTTCAATATACATGTATGTTGTTGTTTATGAATAACTTTATTTTTTATTAGGTTGATGTTTATTTTCCTTGTTCTCACATTTAGACTACAATAATCTGGGTAGTACAAGGGAAGTGAAAATCATTAAGTTGTGTAATATGAAATTTTGAAGCAGTTTAAACAATTTTCAACCACAGCATGAAGACACTTACAAAATCATGTTATGGTGCATTCTGATATAGATGGTATATAACTCACAGTACTGTTTTGAAAAGAAGTGAAACTGTATATAATGCTTAGTAATCTTTTGTTATTGCTTACATCAGGTTTCTGGTAGTCCCAGACTTTTTACAACTGTTATTTCAGTTTTCAGGTATGTGCAATGCAACTTCGCTCCAACAGTGATGTCTCATAGTTACAGATATTTATTCAGTTTTGTAAATCAATGTTAGTTCTGATTAAAAGAGTATATCTTCTTTAGAGCATATGAATCATCAAAGCTTTATCGGGACCTGAAGCTCCGTGGAGCACTGATTCTCAATAAACAACTGCGTTTATTACCACTGGAGCAGGTTTATGATAAGGTAAAATTATGTAACTTAAGGATGTTACCATTTAGCAAATCAACCACATTTTCCCATGATCTCTACTTTTATGGACCAAAAAAATGATGTCTATGAAAATATTCAAAACACATTATAGTACTTATGACCTGTAGGCAAAATAATGGTTTCTTTGTAGCCTGTGTAGCAAGCGTTCCAGTACGGAATCGGGCCATGCGAAACTGTTTTTTCAAGAATGGAGTGAGAGCAAAAAGGTCAAAGGAGGGGCTCTCACCTCACTTTTTGCACAGCCTGAGTTGCTCTCACCCCATTTTTTGTGCGGCCTGAATGAGAAAAAGTTCTTTTGTGCAGCCTGATCTTGTTCGGCTTGTACGGGAATGCTTGCTATGCAGGCTAGTTTCACTGCAAAGTTTTAGACATTTTACCATGAACTATTATTTACGAAATTAGAGTTAAAATCAGTGTAGAATTCCATGTGACACATGATAGCTCATAAGCTTTTTTTTTGTACATGAAGCTGACAAATTCCTCAAAAATTTTGCTCTAAATGTCCCAAATAACATTTCACAACTTTATGGTTTGGTTTATTGGAAAATATTTCCCTACAATTCTCTAAAGTTACCTTGCATTGAGTTCCAAGTTGAGTACATTGTCATTTTCGTGGTCTATGCACTCATTGACCAGAGCTCTTGATCAATGAGCATGCGTGAATTCTCTCATGCATCTTGACAATTAAATTTGAATTGTTTTAGATTGAAAGTTTTAATGACTGCAGTAGCAGATTGAAGTATTGGGTGTTCTCAATTAAAAGAGGGTGGAAAGGGTTTATATATGACTTAGAGCAAAATATAGAATGTTACCAATGGTTCTTGAAGATGAAGGAAAAATGTAAAATGATATTCTTTCATTATTTCAATCCTTACAATGTGTTTGCTGTTTTCTGTTAGATAAATGGTGTCTGGAATCTTTCCAGCGATCAGGTATGTATGGTGTTGTTGGTTTTCTTCATACCATGTGATGTGCATAATAATTGTCTGGGACCTCTCAGAATAGAAGTGGACAGTTGTGCAATATTTCATTAAATTGATACAGTTACACATTTAGGAACTTCCATTTTGAACTCTGACCTCACTTTTTCCTTTGCGGTTTTAATACACTGGTTTTGAATAGTTTATTTGTTGTGATTGTTTCAGGGCAATCTTGGAACATTTTACATCACTAATGTGCGTTTGGTTTGGCATGCAAACATGAATGACACATTTAATGTCAGCATTCCCTATTTACAAATGGTAAGAATGCAATGCTATCAGGGTCAACATTGTCTCTGGAGTTACTTCAAGTATTTCAAATAAACTTAAGTGCATTAACTGTCATGGGCAGGTACATTCTAAGTGCTGAACAAGTGAAGGCCTAGGTCATAACCATCCTGTAGTAATTTTTATTTTTATATGTGTCTCAAAATCACAGACAAAAAAAATTCTTCAGTGTTTTTGAATTAAGTTAATCTCATCGTGCTAAAATATCAGTTGTTCAGAAAACAATCAAGATAATCCAGGATTAGGGTGAAATTTGAATTGAGTTTTATAACTTTATGGTGTGTGTTTTTTTTTATTTTCTGTCCTGATATTTTAATGTTGCCCAGTCTCAAACTCCACATAGCGTTAGTAATGAAAGATAAGAGAAATTAAAAACTTGATCAATGTTTGATCCCATACTAGTACATGCAGTCATCATTGTGCTTCAAAAAGCCTGGCCCTGGACTCCAGATTGAGTAGTCTTGGTTATAGGGTGACTGAGGTCACTATGTTGTGTTCTAGAGGTCAGGACACTTTCTTCTCATGATTCTTCTCTGCACCCAAGATTATAATCAGGTGCATGTACCAGCAAGTTGTCTGGGTAATCAGCCAGAAACCCTGTAGAAAATCTGCATAACTGGAACAAGAATCTCATCCAGGGGGAATTGCAATATTACTCCTAGTAATTTAAGGTTGATAATTTCTGGCAGTGACTTTTGATTGAAGTTCATTACATTGCTGTTAATGCATACTGTGTGTTGTATTCAACAGAAAACTGTTAAGATACGGGATTCCAAGTTTGGACTTGCACTGGTCTTGGAAACATCACAGCAGGTAAAACTCCTTTGTAAAGTAGAGTGTTTGATTTGTTTTGTTTATCACTATTTACAACTTTTGTATTGTTTACTGTGCCACGCAGCAACTGATCCTTTTGGATTACAAATATTTATTGCTTGATTTATATGAGCCAATTATTAACTGAGCAGGAGGTCTTTATGGGAGAATCTTGACTGAAGTCGTGAGTACAGACTGAAGGTCTGTGCACAAGACTGAGGTCAAGGTTCTCCAATACAGACCGACTTAACTCAGTTAATAAGGTGTTTATTATATGGCAAACAAGAACAATTTAATTTGTTTAATGCAACTGGTTTGTAGGTAACTGACATTTTGCTTGTGAACGGCAATGAGCTGAACTTAACTCTGCCAAAGTTTGCTCGTCCTCTTTACTTTTTTTCTCATCAGGCTTTTTGGCACTTCGATAAATAAATACTGTTAGAAGAAATTAGTCAATATTTTTGCATTATAGTTAACAACTTTTTCACTGCAAAACATCACTGGTCTGGTGGCCAGTCTGGATGGGAAAACCTAGACCGCTTTCAATACCGATTTCAACCAATTGAATTTGTGAATTCGGTAGTTCCCAGTCCTTGTGAGACACAGCCATATAATAAGTGATTAAGAATAATTTTATCAGTTGATTATTATTTTTTTGTTTCCTTCAGAGTGGAGGATATGTTCTTGGCTTCCGTGTTGACCCAGCAGAGAAATTGCAAGAAGCAGCTAAAGAAATTCAAAGCCTACAAAAGGTACTTAATGATTGCAATCATGTATTTTGTTTTCCCTTTGTATGATACAATTTTTACCCACTGTTGAGACCAATTAAAATGTTGTTCAGAAAAATTGGGTATTGATGTTTTTGACTCAGTCAGTCACTCAAATAAATTGTCTCTTCTTGCTGGCTTGTATTTCATTTGGTAGGTTTACAGTGCTAGTCCAATATTTGGAGTTGAATTTGAAACGGAGGAAAAGGTAAATACAGTAATTTTGTATTTTGTAATAAAATACTGTACTTATGGCATCTTTTTAGTAGCAACTTTACCCCACCTGTGTTTTTAATATACCTGGTTTTCACATGACGTCACTAAAATTCAAACTACAAAACTATTGATCTTACTGAGATTTTTCTTCAATGATGTATAAGAGCAGTTGAAAACTACTATTCATACAAATTTTCGCTCCGAATGGGTTCTTGGTTTTGTGATACACTACGCTTGAATTTCTAAGCTTTGCGTGACGTGGCATTTACATGACGGCCAAGAGAGCTGTCATGATGGTTAAAAAAGTGACTTATTTAGGGGAATTTGGCTATCTGAACAGTTCACGTCTTACAAAAAGTATTATTTTAATGTTTTAGAGTTCCTCGAGGGATAAATTCACGCTTTTGTGGCAAAACTCAGTGACAGAAGTTTCTGTTGGTTTCAGGCCGCCATGTTGGTGCCCATACGGATGGGCACCATCATGGCGTCTCCATACAAATCTCTATAAATTTGGGTAAAAAATTTCTCTGCATATCTTGCATAAGAAAAGTCACTGTGACCAGAATCTTGGTGAGAGTCTTTGCATGTTTACTTTCTTTCATTTCCCAGTTTCTGGACTTTATCTATTGAGCGGTTTTGATTTTTATTGTGACCTATTTTGAATGGCGTGACACTGAAAACCAGCAATTTTATTCTTTTTATCTAAAAACGTTTCACACTTTATAAGTTATTCACTTTTGAAAATTAGCATTCAACAAAAGTTACAAAAATACGGCACAAAATCTCTGAGACTTTATGCATAATTTTTGGGTATCCCCTTTCATACACCAAACACTTCAATCTGGAACTTTGTAATCTCTAAAGAAAGCCTGTCAAAACCTTTGAGTGTATGTCATCTCCAATAATTTATGGTTTTTACTATTCTCTTATTTTTGTTTCAACATTTTAGCCACAAGTAGTAGATGAGGTGACAGTTGATCCAGTTCAGGATGATATAGAGATTGTTAATGATGGAGAAGGCACTGATGCCTTTGCAGTAAGTATACATTACATTCAAAATTCTCCTACCCATCTCTTTTAGGGGTAGCCTTTTGTGTAGATCCAGTAACATTCTTGTCTTCACTTTTCTCTGTGTATGTTTCACCATACAGCCCCTCAAGTTTGGGATCTCATGTTAACAGGCAGTTCTGATTTGCCCAGATATTGCGTACATTACATTCATGAATGTCACGATGGCTCAAAACAGTTCCCAGCACTGTCTAAGAACAGAGTTTGATGGGTCATTGTAACCAATCTTTATCAGTTGGTGCTATAATCATTGTATCAAAAAAAAAAAAAACACAGTCAATCACTGGTGAATTTTGGTGACATGTTACCATGGTAACAGCATGACTGGCTAAAAACAGCCTTTAACTGCTAATAGCTCAAAAACGAGTTCAGTGACTCCATTTTTTATTACAATTTACCACATGTTGATTGGCGGGGTGAGATGCAACTTTTGGCGAAATTTAAAAAAATTGTGTACAACAGAGTTCAGAGCCACCTTAAATTTTTGAAAATTTGGTCATTTACTTTGCTATGCCATCAGGGTTTAACAGAACATTAACTTTACTTAATAGATGTGAGCTACCTGTTAGTCTTTTTGGTAACCCAATATCAAGGCAAGTCTGCATAATGTCTGTCAAATCCTGTACGAAGTTGTTACCAATAATTAAGGGACTGTTTACTGACTCTACATAGCTAAAACTTAAAAGGAGCTATGTGACCATTTTCTATATAATATCTTCCCGTTTACTGTGCACACTTGCATGAAACAATTTAGAGAGCGTTATTTTAACTAGCCTTTAGAAGGGAAGACAAAATTTGTTCTGATTTGTTTCCTCTTTTTACATGTAGGCCTATTTTGCTGATGGTGATAAAGTAAGTGTGCATTATGTAAAATGCTACAAAGTTCTATGTGTGAAGGCTTCACCCCGAAGTCCAACTCCTTACCCTTTTGTGTACCATTTTGACACAAAAGGTACCCCTTTTGTATAGCCTTTCATTGAAAACAGATACCCCTTTCCCTTACCTACTGAAGAACATTTGCACCTTTTTTCGAAACCTTTAAAGTGAAGTTTAACTTAGTGATGTAGAGCATTATTTAATGATACAGCTGCAAGGTGCATCTGGTCTGGTCTTAAATAACAGATTTCCCTACCCTTTCATATACCTCAACTTGCAAGATCTTTACTCTTTTATATATGTGAAACCTGAAAAACTTTTGGTGGAGCCTCTTCATCTGGAGAAGGCGTTCTCCTTGAATTCAATTTGCCTCTAAGTGTGCTCGTCATGTTAGTTGCCCTTCTCCTTCCCCTGCAGAATGTCCCCCAGCTGTTTGCAGACTTTGAGCCATGATTTGAAAAGTTGGCATCCAAAATGTGCCATAGGGTCTGCTCAAATGAACAATTTATTAAGCAACATGCGAAAAAGAAATTTTCTTTAAAAAATAGGTATCCATAGGACACCAGCCTGGACTCCTATCTGGCCAAAATCCTGGCCCTGTAGATTAAAGAAGGTTCCCTCTGGACGGTTCCCTGTAGATACATGTGGTCCCTCTGGGGATAGTCTGCTAAAGAAAGTCTCCATGGGGATACTATCAAGCAGTAAGATATACCCCGTACTTTATAGATATTTTGGAACACCAACCTTGGTTAATACTACAGTTGAACCTCCCATAAGCGACCACCCAAAATGTCAAGCCTAGCTATAGGTGGTCACTTATGAGAGCTCAGACCATAATGGGTGAACATTTTACCTCATTAGCATATGGTAACTGCAGAGACTTACCCCATGTTTTAAATGTCTTTGTCATGTGAAAAATCAGTTTTGTGAAAAAATCTGGTACTTTCCGCTGAGAAATTTCCGTCCCTTGTATTACCTGGGAATGCAATAATTTAACAACAACTTTTTTTCCAATTTACACTCTATTATCTGTCAAGTGGTCACGTACAGGAGGTTAAAAACAAAAGAAAATTTTAAACTTTTAGCTCTAAAAGTGGTGACGTGACGAGAGGTGGTCGCTTACAAGAGGTTCCAAATATAGTGATATGACTTGGAAACGTTTGGTATTTTGGAAAACTGGTTGCTGAGGAGAGGTGGTCGCAACAGGACGTTTGACTGTATCTTCATAGAAATGAACCACTGTGATTACATAATATATCAAACATGGACGACCATGTTTGACCACATTTCCAAACACTGAGAAGAAGGTTGGAAATATGAAGCATAGCAGAGTATTTTTGATGGACATTGAGGTGTTTGGAAATGTGGTTAAACACTGTCTTGAGTGTTTGATATGCCTTCTCAATCGAAACAAAAACTAAGGAGAAAATGGAGAAACATAATCTTGAAAATCTATGCTAATTAAGATATCCTTGGCAAACATTGTCACAGTCATGATTTTGTTTGTTTAAACTTGATGAATCATTTATGAGTTTGAGAATCGACTAAAATACATTATTTCATCAGGTGAAATCTACTATATTACCTAGTATCAAGACTAACATGATCCATTTTGTTGTCTTTTTCTTTTGTAGTCTAGTGATCGTGAGCCAGTGTATTCAGACCAGCTAGGACTAGCAGTGGAGAAATTAAAAGATGGCTTCACTTTACAAGGACTGTGGGAAGTTGTCCCTAGTCAGTAGGAATTCAAAGAAATGGTGACAGTAGTCAGCTTTAAATTATCCTGAAAAAATCTTGGTAGCAATAATGAACTTACCAGAGTGTTCAATTGTACAAAATGAAATAGTAGCTAGTGCAACAAAATATTTGTTTTAATGGAAAAATGGAATGTTTCCTTGTTCTGTCACAAAAAGTAAGGGAAAATATAGGTGCAGAATGTGCCATTGCAGGAAAAATCCATGCCCATCTCAAGGAAGGTCATATTTGGAAATTCCAATGTGGAGGCAAAGTTTTCAAAGTGTGAAGCTAAACAATCTGGAAGGGTGGAGAGGGAGGGGGTCAAACCAAAAACCTTCTGTATGAGGCACTGTGGATAATCCTGGGACAACGCTACATATACCTGCCAACTCTCATGCCTTAGGCTTCCGCTATCTTCCGAACACTTCGGACGTCTTCAGATGTCTTTGGAAGTTTCGGACATCTTCGGAAATCTTTGGATATGATGATTGTGTCATCTTCGCAAAACCTGACACTCCAAGGATAAAATCTCATGCCTATAACTCAGAAAAAGTTGGCAGGTATACACTGCAGCATATATGACAATACTTTTTAAAGTACAGTTGGTTATCAGCAAGTCTGCACGTACTCTCAAATCATGTAAGTTGTTGTTGTTTTTTCTTCTAAAGGGTAGAATTTGTCCAAAAATTGCAAGAGAACATCTTGGAAGCTCAGGCAAACATTACAGTGTAGTTGATGGAACAGATCTTGTTACTTAATCATACATGAACTCATTCTGTGTTCAGTTCTTCACAAAATCGTTTTTGTTAACAAGCATCAGCCACTCTTGAGATGCTTCAATTTCAATCCCTTCTGTGGGGGGAGTAAGGATATTTTCTGGAACTGCACATTAGGTACCAAGCCTGTATTGTGTTGTTCCAGAAAATATCCATTCCCCTCCCACAGAAGGTTTTGTAGCTTGAACCCCCCCACCCCTCCGGAAATTCCATTTTAGTGTCATACTTTCCTTTAAAAAAAATGGGCTTTTGAAACCCCCCTCCCCCTCGGAATTTCCATTAACCGTCCTTGGGGTGGGTATGGATATTTTCTGGAACTACACATTGTCAGTGCACTGCACTCCAGAACAGTCAGTACCTTTCTCCACGCTGGTGTCAAACATCGATTCTGGCAAATTTAATAATCAGGGTAAAACAATAACCCTGCAATGAACCGGCATTTTATCCTGCCGCCCATACAGCAGAAAAAATGGGTGCCCGCCTCAGATGGGCCACTAGGCTAGAATGCAGACTTCACCTTAACTCCATTGTAAGTCTTTTAAAAAGCAAAAAATGACAGGCTACTGTTTCTCACAAGAATGTAAATGTGTATTATAAAGATTGTAAAAACACTCTCACTCTGGTCATTTGAGGCACTTAAGAAATTTATTAAAAGAGCACTTGACAGCACATGTTTTGTACACTTTTCTTCTGTTCCAAATGCTCATAGTGTTTTGTGACAGTTTTAATAAAGTACTGTAAATACACTTACTTATATATGTTATACTCCATCTGCATTCCTGTTAGAAAAAGCAGTTATGAAAACAAAATATGGTGTTGACACGTAACATTTTGACCTCTGAGTGATAACTGCAAAATTATACATTATCAGGGGTTTCATTAATGTTTTAAGCAGGAGTGTACCTGGTTTTCAGTTGGGCAAAATGTTTTGAACTGAACTTCTCAAACTCATTAATAATTCATCAAGTTAAGACAGAACATCACTACCATGAAGGAGGTTTGGGTACCTGGTCTTAATTAGCACAGATTTTGACGATTTTACTTCTCCATTTACTTCTTATTTTTTGTTTTGATTGAGAAGAGATATCAAACACTTGAGACAATGTTTCATCGGCCATCCAAACACCTCAAATTTCGTCAAAAATACTCCACTGCGCATCCTATTTTCAACTCTCTTCTCAGTGTTTGGATATCCTGATGAAACACCGTGTCCTGTGTTTGACATATTGCTTCTTAAAAAGAAACTTTTCCCTTGATGGTTAAACCAGAGGGGCAAAGTCATCCTCATGGCCGGTCAATTTTCCTGGTTCCCAGCCGTTAATGAAAGCCCTGCATTGTCTCAGAATAGATGTAGCTGTGAAGGGAGCACTGCAATGTTTCATTGAAAGTAAGTTGATGTGTCAGTCCCATCGGACTTATTGTAAAAGCTGTATGCTGCCACCCTCTCTAGTCGCCTTGTCAAGTGAATATTTTAATCAGATTTTGCGATTAGGCCCTGCTATATTTGTCTGTTAAGTCATGTTCCTTGTCCCTAGTTGGTATTATTGTAAGGCAACAAATGCTTTACAGAATTATTTCCAAAAAAAGAGGTCAGTTGAACAAATGAGTTAGAGCTGTTTTCATTCGATTGCCTTAAAACACTCCTGCGACTTTTTCATTCAGTCACAAGTGAAACCAAAACCAATCGTAACTTGTTCGCACACGTTCCCAGATTTTGCATCAGCTACATGTAATTACTTTGAGTTTTAACTGGTTCATTGGATTGTCTTTGTTCTTTGTGCTTGGTTAGAGTGATTACTTTGGTTTTGGCTTTCCAACACTCAATTGAAAACTGCTCTAAAAGCAAGAAATCAGAACTCGAATCCTTGTCCTTGTTTTGCTTAATAATACTCAAGTTGAGCTTTGCCCTTCTTGAACTTCAGTACCCATCATCAACTACCCTGAGTAGTAAGAATTCTGCTTTTGGGGGCATTGGGAAACTCCATCTTGAGGTGTGAGCTAAGTCCCTCAGAAACCCCTGCACAGGCTAATAAATCAACCCTCATGGCAGCTACAGAAGGAAACACGGGCAAGGGTATAGCATCCTCTGCAAGGATTGTCAGAGTTGTCTGAGGGTTGTGCACAAATAATGGATGCAAAAGAGAGTGAGGGAAACGTTAATATTTGAACCTGCCATATGCATGCTGGTTATAATCCACTTCAAGAAATGATTGCTGCATATTCACACTCCCTTAAAGGATCCTAGTCAGCCTCTGCCATTTTCCATGCCATCAAAATTATATATTGCATGGTGAAGCGAAATCTTATTGCTTTATCGTAAGTTGTGTTCCTGAAAGTATGTTTAATTATCTTAAGTGGCTTCACAGTGATTTCCCTCATTTTGACATGCTCAGAATAAAATATAATAGCCAAACTCTCATATGTAAACAAAAACAGAAGGCAAACAACAACCTGTTTCGATGAAGATTCATCAAGAGTGCTGTTGCATTGGCATCGAATAGTGATGGAACTCCAGACATACTTGCCCAGATGCACCCCAAATAACACCACACACAACTGTTTTGTTAACATAATTGTTTATATATATCTAACTCCACAATAAATAGTCTTACATGTAATCATTTTTAAAACAATTGTTTTATAATAGACAAATCATTTTTTAAAGTATTTATCACTGGAACCATGACGTAATCAAGCTTCTGAACTTGGTTTACCTTATCTACTGTTGAGCAAGAGAAAACGTGGAAAGATTGACCTTGCTCACAGGCTCTTTTATCTGCTTGGTTAATCTACCAAAATTCACCACAAAAGGTCTCCTGTGATAAAATTCTTTAAGTCTATTGTTCATCAGAAGAAAAAAAAAAAAACAGTTGCCTTAGCAGAATTCTTGTTGAATGTTTAAGACAGCTCTATATGTTAATCACATGCACAAGAAAGAGATAAGCACCTTAATTTAGACATTCACTAAAGTGCAATTACTACATCGCTTGTTTCATGCAAAATTCTCTTAGGAAGATCACTACCTTGAACTTAAAGATTCACATTGAAATGAATTTTCCATTTACTGAGACAACATCCTGTATTTCCCAAAAGGAAAACAGTATTTCAGTCTTTCAGATCACATTGTCTGTTTCTCATGCAAGTTGACAAAAATCTAGTCCCCTTCTGGGTCCAGTACAACTCTGTGCCTGGATTGTTTTGAATGCCATAGAAGTGCAATATTACAGCTTTTAACAGACCAGCTGAACCACACGGACATTGAATTACCAGCATTGACCATAATCCAGTGGAGCCGTTTTTGAGCACTTCCAAGTTTAACCATTGGATAACCCAGCAATTCCAATGGTACCAGCCATCTACTCTCCTGGCAGAACCTGCAAAACATGCTTACCCAGAAAAAATACAGAACAGAAATGTAATATTGAGTCAACCTTTTAAAAGTTAACAGATTCCATGACTTTGAAATCATCACATCATCCTGGCCCACAACCAAAACAAATCTGAGAAATTGAATCATGCTTTTAAGCTCTAAATTATGCTAATATACAACAGAAAGCTTCCAGCAAGAAGCAAAGTTGCTCTGGTTGTATACATGTAATAACTAAAGTAACCTACTTACTGTTTATCTAAAAAAAAAAAACTGACTCTACCACCTGCACTATAGTAAAACAAATGAAAACCACTGTCATCATCTTTCAGTACCCTTATTATTATTTTGTTTTCAGTTGTTTGTATTTTATTGTTCATTCTTGACAATTCTAGTGAGCTCCAGACCGTAACATGACAAATGTTACCATGGTCACATGTTTCTATCATAAATCTCTTTGGATAACTACTACATAATGCTTCAATCTACATGTACATGTATATTATTACCTGTTACTTATTTCATGTTTCACAGACAAGAAATAAGCGGCGCCTTTATCCCTTGTTCAGCACCATACGTTTACTTTCATATGGAAAAATTATTGCATAATTTACACTACAAAGAACTACAGCATAGTTAAATAATCAGAAACGCAACTTCACAATAAATGCTATGGATTTCACTTTTCTGGCATAACTCTCTCACTCAACAGAGTTGGGAAAAAATGAAGTCATTGTTGAAAACAATAAATCAATATTTCTGTCCCAGTACACAAAAAGTACAATTCCACAGCTTTCACCTGAATGGACAAAAAATAGCATTTTGTCCTCAGAACATAAAGTTAGAACCACGATAATTAGGAGACTTAGATTTAGCACTTGAAGAGAAAGGGTTATGCATGGCAAAAAAAACAAAAAGAAAAGTTGACTTATATATAATTATTTTACTTTCATCCGCTGTTGAATTAGTGCCGGAAAAATGATTCATTTCTAACCACAAGCTAAGAAATCCATGGTCTAAAAGTAACATTAACTGTTAACTCTACCCTGCACAAGCAAATCTAGCTCAACTAGGAAATATAAGAAATCAGTGCGATATACGTTATCTAGGATTGCTGTAGCTTATATTCAATGTTTTTAATTAACCTTGTGTCAGATAATTTTTTTTGCTTACTTCTTTTCCTCTTTTTTTCCTTTCTTTTTTGCATAACTTATCTTAAAATGACATCTCCTGAAAGTTCGATTCCCAACGTTTTTGTCACGTTTTAAATGACTGGAACCATCGTGTCACATTCTATGTAAATTTCCAGGAAAGGAAGATTTACTAATAGTTAATCTTCTGTTTTAGAGCTTTTTCCAATGCTTCATCGGCCAGTGGGCTCCATATTATCCACAGTGTCAGAGTTCAGTACTTGTTTAGGCCAAACAGCCTCACCTTGTACATCTGTGGAAACTTGGGAACCAGAGAAAGTCCAAGAAGGGATAGAGAGTTGAAAACAAAGTGAATACCGTCATACTTAGTATAGAAACTTGTTACCATAAACCTGAAATAATAATAATAAAAAAATTAGTTTCAACTGATTCAATTCTCGCAGATTGGTACACAGTTCCTTTGACTTTAAGTAGTTTTAAACTTCAAGCTTGGTGAATTTGCACACCAACTGATTTGTTGGTGTGCAACTTCCTTCAACCAGTTTTTAGGTTTAAAAGTCGAATTACTGAGAATTTCCTCTGTTGGTTTTCTTGGGAATTAAATCATCTTTAATGCAATTTGCACCTCAGTTTATACAACTTTGCACCTATGATACACCCTTCTGCACTTGTGTTAGGGGAAAGCTGTACTCCCTTTATTTGCCAATCAGTAATTTTTTCAAGTGTATTATCATGCATGAAACAAGTACAAATATACAAATACAAATATTGTGAATATTTGTAGTAACGATATTTGTAGTACTCTTAGGAGTCTGGCGTAACAGGTTTTCAATGTATCTGAATAAGCAGTGCAGACATTTTGAACATTTTATGAGATATTATAATACAGACTGTGGAAAAATGAGCTCGATTTGCAAAGTATTTTTATTTACCATTTGTGTTTTGACTTCCTGTAAACTTGCCAAAATACTGCAAGAATGAGATATCTTCTCAGGGATCCTGGGTCCTACCTGCAGGTTGATGAACCTGTGGTCATAGAGTCCCACCCCTTCTCTCCTGCTCCAAGAATGACATTATCTTAAGACTCTATCTTACACACTAATTTCAACATTTTGAATATTTCTCTTAAATTTTTGACAAATGCTAAATAATTTATGACAATTTCTGTTAATTTTGTATGTTTATAATAAATTATTGTTTGATTTAACTACTACTTTTTTTTTTTTTTTTCATTTTTTGATTATCAGTTCTATCCCTTCCTTTCCACCAAAATTAAATCAGGGCAAACTTACAGGAAAATTGGTACCAGAGTAAAGAACTTTCTTGTTTCTGTGAATTGTTCGCCATTGTTAAGCTGCTCCCAGTGCGTTAGTCTGCGTGCCTTGCCTTGATCAGCTGTCTGAAATGGTGTTCCTTTCAGGTAATGCAGAAATATAAACATACTCTGCAACAAATGTTAAATCTCAGGTTAATATGTCAATCAGCTGGAAAAAAAAATATAACATGATGTTAATCTCAGGGACTGTCTAATCAGACGAATTCCCTTCCTGTAGGTGAAGTTCCTGTACTGAATGTTACAAAATGTAGTGGCATAGTCGAAACCATGACTTAAGTATCACAACTACAGAATTTAAAGCAAAGAAAATCATAAACAAGCACGTATGAAGTACCAAAACTTTCTCCAAACAACAATTAAAATAATGCATGGAAATAAGAAAGGATGATTAACGATTAATATTTAAATCTTGGGACTTATGGAGTTAGTAAAAATTTACATAATTTGGCCACTTACAAGTACATGTACATTCACATGCATTACTCAATATTGATTATTACTTATTAATGTTTTCCAACTAAAATATTTTCCACCGAGGTATTATATCTCAAGTTAACATTGGGTTTAGAAGTTGCTCTTTAAGAGTTAAATCTCATAGAAAATAAGCTTAACCCTTTCCCTGTCTGTGATACTAAATCAAAGCTGAGGCAAAAATTCTTTCTTCAGCCTATAGATAAAATTTCGAAAGTTGTATCAAAATGGAGCCATGTACCAACAACACTGTTACAGTATAACGAATCATTACAAAGATCAATAACCTTAAGTTTTCAAGCAATTTTCTTCAAAACGCAACATCCTTTCAATCGTTACTTCAATGAACAAAACGCAAACTTATCTGTACATGTACGTCTGTCAGATTCACCGGGAATGTTCTTGCATATTCGTTAATCTCAATCAAGATCAATTTACACATCATATCAAATGATATTATTGGCCCCAAATAAGCAGGAAATACACGGATCAAAACCCCTAACCTACCAAATTGTGGAAGGTGTTTGTGAGGGTCCAGGCAGTCGGTGTATCGAAGAACGGGATGCTCAGAATCACCAAATGACCAATAGTTATGAGTAACACATACGTAAACCAAGTCCCCTTGCTTTCAAGCCAGGACTCGTTCGGATTATTGATACTGAGGCCTCTCTCAGCCTTCATTTTCTACCGTTCACTCCACTAAGGTCCTGAACTGTACAACTGTATTTTATAAATTTCTTCGTGCGCAAAACGCGAAAGTAAACTATGACGCATTACTACGCATGTATTGTACACAAAACCGCTGAAACATCTGAGATGTAAGGTGAACGTGAAATAGGTACTTCATATAAGCACTACACAGATATTTCATGTGATCATATCCGTACTTGGCGCGAAAATATCAGTTATCCCGCGAAATTGTCAGAAATACTCCTGTTTCTCATGTAGTTACTTTTACACTTTTAGGAATTTTTAGTATTGGTTTACTTATTTTGATCATGGATAGTAAAGAGACTGGATTGGAAACTAGCTCTCGTCACCGGTTCCAAAAATTCCTAAAAGTGTAAAAGTAACTACATGAGAAACAAGAAAATTCCAAATTTGAAAAAAAACGTTCGCGTCAAAATAGGGTTGTCCCATACCAAATCACTTAATTACTTATAACGTCGCAAAGATATCTCGTTCACGTTCCAAGCAGTCAAAAATCTCTCTGCTTATCCCACATATCTACGTTTTGGGCTGTTTTGTGAATTTTTTAGTGATTTTTGGGTATATTTGGGAATAAATAGTTTTTCTCAAAGAATTGGCAAAATGTTTGGAAACAGGAAGATTTGCTGTTGTTTTAGAATAAGAATTTGAAGTTAAAAATTGGTAGACGTACACCGTGGTGGTGTTCCAAAACTTTTTTCTTTTTAATCCCTCTTTAAACTTCCTAAAGCTTCATTTAAATTCAGGTAGACCCCCGCCTCAAAGGCAGACAATTTCAGAATATTTCTTGACGTTTAAATCACGTTTTTAGTGCCAGATATATTCATCTGATATGGATACAAATTAAAACGTGCGTTTTAACATGTTTATCTAAAGAAAAAGTGCTCCTCGTTCTTCTCTTCTTAGACTCGCACGAGGCATAGCCTCGTTTTGGCGCTAAGCTTATTTTCGCCCTATAATGCCATGAAATTGCTCTTTTCATCTCTAATCTTGACAGACGTGTTAAACTCGCGATTTTCTTCACATCTATTAGCTTGACAGTAGCTTCAGCTTGAATTACCTTAAAATCTTTTTCTTAATTGAAAGCGTTATAGGCTGTTTAAGTCCGTGGGGGCGACCTCCGCCCTTCCCGAATGGGGTAATTAAGATCGAGTCCACATTACGCCGGAGGGATTTGAAAATTTAACTATCACCAGTCACTTTGGGTTTGTGTTTGACATGTCGTGTTTTATTTTATTTTGTATATTTTCCATATTTTGCAAAATATGCAAAATGCGAAATATCACTAACACGACAAGTCAAAAGTAATTTTTGCGCACAGAGGAAACCTAAATACTTCAAAGAGGTAGAAAGGCAACAAAAGAAATCACAATAAACAGAAGAACAAGAAAGAAAAAGAGGGATGGTACAGAGTGAGAAAGGTGGAGACTGTTTACGAATGACAGCCGATAGATGTGTACCGGTGTACCGGCGCGGGTGCTCGTAAAAGAAACAACAAAGGCCCATGTGGCTTGAGCAACTTTATTTCCAGAGTAAAACTGTCAAAACTGAAATAACAGCGTCGTGAGTGGTAGAGAACAAAAGGGGAAAAATACAATGCGAGAAACGACAGAAAACTTACGCCTTTCCTCGTTACAAGGGCACCGCGTGGTCGAAAGCACTAAAACTAACTAAAGCGCATGCTGGGAAGTAATGACGTAAGTAATGACGCAAACTCGAATCGTCACGCAAACGTGACAGACGTGACACAAAAGCCACACGGGTGCCGTTACAACGGGATAAAATGCTGTCAAGAAAAAGGTATGAACCGTAAACGACACGGCAAAGTGGTGTTCTGGGAAACTTCCTAACCAATATTATTTACATTCTTACGGACCGTGTCATAACTTAATTATCATTTAAGATCAAAGCCTATGTTGATGAACGGCTACGATAGTTAAATGCAAGAAATGGGTTTTTTCTGAAAGTGAAGTTTCTCCTTTGTGATGACTAAGGTTCGTTATGAAAACCAAGCAGGTCAAAGGGTAACTAAAACGACAATCCATATTACGCAGAAAAGAGCACAGCCACCCTCATTTTTTAAAATTGCATACTGTATTTGTAAGATTCATAACATAATTACAAAGTGAGTCAAGTCTTAAAGATTTTAAAATAAATTAGTCTTTTTGTCAGGTTCACCCTATTCAGATCGGGATGGCTTGGGGAGGAGGGTTGGTGCAGAGTGAGCTTGCGCAATATTAAGTACCTCTGGCTTACCGTTCCTATTACCGTTACTGTCTGAGACAGGTGTTTCTAAATAAATCTGACTAAGAAACATCATCATCGCCGTCTGTCTTAAAAGCAGGGAAGGTTTCTTTAGACGCTCGTAGTCTATAATCAACAATCAGTAAAATGATTCCATTTCGATTGGGATCACTGCCTTGTTCGTGGTCGGGTGGCTTGCGTATTCTAATGACCCCTCAGAGCTATGTCGGCGGGAGTCTTGTACTCCTGGTAGGGTCACCCTAGCCAAACAGGTCGAGGGGTAGGAGCCACACAAAGAGTGATCCCCTGGTCCTCCAAGTTGGGAGTTGGGCTGAGGGCTGATAACACTCTCCCGTAATTATTACAGAAACCAGAAGCAGAGAGAATTTACTACATCGAGGACATGCTATGGCCGTACTTCGTAGCAGGCCGGGCCCAATGACACACGGGAGCCACATCCAGCAGGACAGCCACTGGCCGACTAGACCACTGCACCCTAAATACAAGCTGAAAGTTGGCAACTGGAATGTTCGAACGTTACAAAAGTGGCAACATCGCACCGGCAGCAAGAGAAATAAAGAGGAAAGGTGGAGACATCATAAACAACAGCGAAACTCACTGGACGGAGCAAGGAAAAGTGCAACTTGCAGACGGAAAAACCATAATTTACTCTGGAAGAGATGATGACAACCACAGACAGGGAGTAGGTATATTGATGTCAAAAAGTGCAGTTGGAGCTCTGATGGAGTGGAACCCTATCAGAGAAAGAATAATTCAAGCCAGATACTATCCCAAATATAATATATAGATCTAGCCAAGACTAAAAGCGGAGCTCCTGATTGCAA